CGCAGAATTGTCTTTTGTCTCTCCTAGCACTCTTGTTCTTTTCCTTATTCAGTGTAGTGTACATTTAACTCAGTTTCTCCTCCTTTTATCCATCTTCGTATTGAGTCATCTCTTTCACCATCCTGGTTTCCTCTCTTCTATTGGCTTCCAGGTAGGTGTCTGCTGAGAGTCGTTCCTTGTCTTGTCTCTTCTTTCTTCCTCGCATAGTTGTCTACGTTTGCTTGAAAACCACCTTTGGAGAGTTATTTTCAATGTTCTTCCACTCATGTTTCCTCACTGATGCTATGTCATGTCTCCGACTTTGCTCTGATTTGATGTGTAGCGAAGGCATCCCTTGTGGTTTTGTCCTTCAGTTTCTGAGTGTCGGACTTGAATTTTAGCCTTTCTCCAGTTTTTTCGAGGGATTTCACCTTCACCTTGGAGGTTCCTTGAACTAGATGATGGTCCTCCTCCCTTCCTCCCCTTCTAGACTTTGTGTCCAGTAGACTGGCTGTATCGCCACTTCCTTGAGCAGCATTCGGAAGAAATGTATCTGGTTTTTGGTGTGTCCGTCAGACACAATGAATGCGTATATCGTTGTGCTTGTAGACGCTGCCTCCGATCACCAAATCATTGAAGATGCAGAATTCTGCCGGGAGAGCCTCTCGACCCATGATGAGTTGCCTTCCTGTTTTTTCAGCCTCCAGTTTGGCGTGCGTTCATACCTCCCATAAGTATTTTAATATCACCATTGCGGATGTTATCCACTACTGTTTGTGGTAGTTTATAGAAACCTGCCTTCTCTTGTTTTGTGTTGTTTGTAGCACTGTGCGTAGCATTGGATAATTGTAACCTTCCTTCCTTCTTTCCTTCTGAGTTGAATTTTTTTCGCGATCCTCGATGAAATTGATTCTCTCTGCACTTTCACTTTGGCTGACACTGGTGACATCATGATAGCCACTCACTACTTCAGTGTGCTTGTGGTTACCGTCTGAGTGATCTGACCGTAGTAGATAAGTAACTCACCAGTTGACAGTTTTGAGAATCCACATCCATTGCGTCTGCTGTGGTAGATTCGCAGCACTTCTCTGTCATATGTTCTTATTTGGGCTACGTGAACAGCCTTCCCAGCATCGTACATTGTATGTACATTCCACGTGGGCATTCCCATTCTTTTTCTCATCGATAGAGAATACATATCGGCTGGCTGACTGGCTTCCCGAAGGCTTTCAACAGCCCTCTGTGTCATTTCGCCTCTGCGATTCCTGCGGAGAATAAGTTTTTTTAATATTTTTGTATTTTTAATATTTTGATTGTGCACTTGTGTAGTCGTTTGACTGGTTTAGTTGTGTAGGGTCACCAGCTCCACACCTAAACCTCCCTCTCTATCTGGGTTTGGGACCGGCTAGAAAACTAGCAATTCAGTAGACTGAGTGAGGTTTTTGAGTCTTTTCTTCCACACTATATAGAGTGAAGAAAGTGTTTTGGTTTGCAGGCGGCATTTTTTCAAAGATTTCTACAGTCTATTAATGATTAACATACACCGTAGAACAGTTTTTCTTTTCGGAGAATGATTTTGTGTTAGTTGGTTAGATTAAAGGTAGAAATCCTCTTGAATACATTTATAATACTTTTACCTGTATTCTCAAGATAACAATGTTTCACTATATCCAGGCATTTTTTGAATAGGGTTAGTTGGTGTAGAGTTTCTTTAGTACATTGTTGGGTTCTTAATATCGTAACGGTGTATTTGATCTATGTGAGTTGATTTTCACACTGAGATCCCAGAAAATAAAATGGTTAACTGAATAGGGATGTCTAGTTTGTGTAATTCACGTCGCACATCACACATCTAGGGGATTCACATATATCCTCCAATCTTTATCTTATATAACCAAAAAGATGAGGGATTATTTAATTATGTTAATGTCTTTTACACTTCACTGCCTTTTCTATGAAAAAAAGAAAAAATTTCATAGCCTTAAAATCTTTTGTTAATTGGTTTCATCGTTTTATACAAATAAGTCCGTCCAATGTTTTGCAATTTAGTAGAAAAGGTGATATCTATTTTTGTATCCTTATTGATTTATAGAGGTTATTTTAATTTTTTTATTGATTTTATCCCTTTAAAATTGAGATGCCACTTGTCTAAAGAAGCTACATATATGATAATGTCAATCATGAGCTTTAATATAACTAAGTGTGTATTAAACTTTTGTAGTCAATTTTACCGTGGTTACCAAGAGATATATTAATAATAATAATAACTGAACTAGTATCGTTTTGCTTAGATACATACACACATGCGTATATACAGGTGCATTTTGTTTCAAGCGTGAATATCAACACATAAACTTGGACAAAGCAGCAACAACAACCAATGTGTACCAGGATAATAAGAGCTCATTTTTTATTATTTCACGGATTCTTTTAAACTGTCTATAAACTGAACAATATAAAAACATAAATTGCGTGGAAGAGGTTAAAAGAATTGATTATTTATAGGATAATTAATTGAATATTCATGAAAAAACAACAGCCTTCAAAACTTTCTTTAGTTAGATTACCTATTTTACTGATGTACTAACTCTTCCGAATTAGACTTTGTTTCTACTCAAAATTCAGGGCTCTGTATTTTTCCAAGAATATCCGTCTAATTATACTAATAACAGTCAGCCCTTTAGACGTCCAATAATTTAACGACTCACATCACTCCAGACCAGTAATATGAGTGGTTCCTGTCAATCACTTCTTGTCATTGTGAAAAATGTAGATTCAGACCTCTTTTGCATAATTTTTATTTCTGTATAGTTCAGGATGTACGCAAATGAAGAGAATCTGAGAAATTATAAAGAATGAGCTTTTATTATCCTGGTATGCATTTGTTGTTCTTGTTTTGCTCATAGTTCCCTAATAGGAATGATTGTATGAAGTTTTTGACACTTTCTTAGAACGAATATATGCACGAAAGCAACAAAAACGCAAAAAATACAAATCAGTTGTCATTGGGAAAATAAGCTTGACGAAAAACTAATTTTGAAATTTAATTTTTGCTAAATGTCATGTTGCTTAACAGTTTTTTTATACTGATGGGCTTTGTAAAGATTTTGACTAATTTCAACGTAGATTTTATTACGAGATAATATCGATTTGACAGAATCATGTTTGTTCGTCCTAGTTTTGGACTCTTCGGCAATGCGCATGCATGACCATACTATATATAGAACCCAGTAACATCAGGTCATGAAGTGAGCCAGTCGACAATTCAACCACTGTGTTGAAATTCAGTTATCCATGAATTTACACTCTACTGTCAACTGATGCTATTGATGAGCATCAGTCTGACATTGACATAGCATAGTGGGTCTACTGTATAGCTTAAAATCATATGACCAAGATAAATAAAGTCTGTAAAGTGTTGGTTAGCAGAGGAATGTAAAACGTACGATTCCTCCTATTTATTTGAACTTATTGATTGAATCTTTGCTTTCATTCAAGTAAGTGATAGTGTTTCAGTTGTAACTAAAAACAGGAAATATAATTTTATAGAAGAAAGCGTTATATTTCCAAGTCAGATCAACTGATGAATATTGAGTTGAACGAAATGAACATGATAGATTCTCTTCTGTTAACCATTACCAAAGAAAAGATGTATACATGTTTAAAAACACAGATGATTTAATATAGTCATAAACATTTTAGAAATTTCGAGATCAGTATATTTCTGATTGCTATTTTCTTCTCATATATAAAGAAGGTAAATACAAACTGTCTATTTTATGCAGACAAAATTAAGGTAGTTGAGAAAAAAATACTCACTTATATAGACTTTATTGATCGTCATATGATTATGACCGTGAATGAGTAACACTTTTAATGTGTGGATATGAGGTGCATGTACTTATTTACATTTGGCTATTACATTTGTTTGAATTGTTTTACCACTATTTCATTTATACCTAACCGGTCAGCGTGTTGTTTTCTTTCTTTCTTTCTCTACTGTACTTTTTGTCCAAATGCAACTACTTCAGTGGTCACAATATCAAACTGATTTATTTATTTCGATAGAGAGATAGAATAGTTGAATGATGTAATCAATATTCTCTTTAGCCATAGCATAGATTTCAACTAGTAGTGATGGTCATTGTTAATTCATAAACAGCCTGCACTCATTTTGTTTAGTTTTGAGTGTTTTATCTGTTTACTTTTCCTTGCATATCAAGAGGCCATGAAGGCTGATTAGATCAGATTAGGCAGTCTAACAGTAGACAACATTAGAATCCAGTATGCAGACTAAATCCAATTTGAGAGCTGTCAGCTAGATATGCTTGAATCGTAAAGGATTGGGAGTGATGCATAGAATATGATTCTTGTTGCCCAGTGGCCTAGTGCGTAATTCTTTGGAATGTTTGCTGAGTTCGAGTCAAAGTGAGAACATCGTCAATCAATGGAGGTGCAGGTACACCAAGCTAATGAGTCTGAAATAGGATGAAATTCACTCCCTTGATTCCATCGCTAGCCACCATAAACAAAATAAAATCATGCTAGCACTCATACAGTGTCAAAACGTCCGTACTAGAAGCTAACACTTCAACAAAGATTAACTATTTCTGTCCAATATAAATCGCCAGTAGAAAACTTGAGGGAGCTCACGCAGACTGTTTTATTGATAAGTAATATTAAAAATGTAAGGTCCTCCAGTTGTTGAGTTCAAAACAGGACATGATGCACCTACTTAGTTACATTTCCAGCCATCCATCACTGATTAAATAATATCGATTTGAAGTATCCATACTGTTAGCCAGTGCACAAATAGTAACTGATCATTTTGCGGCAGGGGAATCAAATAACCGTGGGTAAACCTGCGACAAAAGTAAAATAAAACTGATGTCAACAATTATATCACTATGGATTCCCAATGCATTGCGAAAAAGTGATTGCGTTAGAATTGAAGTTTAATAAAGTAGTTCCTAATATAACATTGGTCTGCAAAGTCATTTACAAGTCAGTTGGGGGCAATGGCTGAGAGATCGAACTCAGGCTTTGTGTTTGTTGTTATTTGTCCACTAGGTATGCCTACAACCACCTAATACAATTCAAAGCACACCACGATGGTGAGTTACCTGACTTCGTGACCGCCTTGTAAATGTATCTGATAGAATTGAGTCACTATCAACGCAAAGGACTAGAAACATGACATTGGTTTATGCCTCGTGTCTAATCAATGTATGTTGCAAGTTAGTTTACAGGAAATCCATTCTAGACACAAATCTCATGTTTATTAGCACCTACTGCAAGACATTCCCATGTACAACCTTGACACAACAAATACGTTAACTGGTATTGAACCATTCACCAAAATAGTGAATGGTGTAGATTTTGAAACTAGGAGATATAGATAACAAAATTCTCCGAGAGACTGTATATATACCATGTTGGTAGTTGGCTAATAAACACAAAATCTAAGTCCAGGGCACATTATACACTTGTACAACAGACTTCTGTCACTACCAATGGTTTATCATCCAGATCGATTACCAGTGTTGTTGCCAAATAACCAATCGTATCAGACAACTTTCATGACAGCAAATAACCACTAGGAAAATCTATTGCACAGAAAACACTAAAAGTACGAAACGAAATTTCATAGGCCAATAAATATACATGGTAGCATGTTGTCAAAAGTAAAACAGACTGAGAATACATAAATAATTATTTTAAAAACTTCGTAATAATGAGATTTTCTGAGGTAGCGAATCGATTATTACCCAGAAGTCAATCAACCACGCTGAAACGCAAAATTCAGCGAAATTCTAACCGATAGCCTTCAAGTCATGTGATGAATGCAGAAAACATAATATAGCAAAGTGTTCATATCTCTTTAGGTATAGATAATAAATGCGACCATTTAGTCGGAAACTCATGTTTGGAATATTGTGCAGTGTTTATCGGCTGTAACAAATAGGCGATTTTCCTAGCCTTAAGTGTTATTTAGACTATGGTAACTAATCAATGGACGCGCATTTCGCCTTATTTGAGACACCTCTTATGAGTGTACCTGTGTCCCAGTGAGTGTTGGTTACTCTACTGAAATTCGAACTAAGCATCCATCTCTTCAAACACCAAAGCAATATCCAATTAGCTAGTAATTCTCGTATCAACAGAGACAGAACATATCGTTCTGGAATAATCAATCAACGAGGAATGGAAAATGACTAAAATTTTCTACTAACTGTCGGTTTGATTGACACTATAGATTATTTCACGGAACTTACCTATTTGCGAAATAATCATCATTTGACTCTTAATACTGGACTTTAATAGAACTTTATAACATAAGTCTAGTGTGTATCTGTTAACTACAGAGACGTTCGTCTATGATATCAAATAACCTTTGTGACACAACTGTCCGCCTTTCAGAAACTGAAATCCATTTATGTTAACTAAAACTCTATTGTTCCTATCAATCAGTCAATCAAACATTGTTTGATTAGATGCACAAGATATCTTTAAAGACTTTATTCTTACACATTCACGTATACGCACCTAAAGCAATGTCAATGTCCATAAATTGTTTTATTAACGATTATTGAATGACATTGTGACAAATACAAGAAAGTTCTGATTTTTTACCTCGCATGATTATATACGCATAATATTTGGTTTTTTATTCTCATTTTTAGGCACTCCATGGTCTGATGGAGTTATCACCATTTTTTCGTATGATCATTATATATGTAATTGGAATGTTTGGTGGTGGACTAGTTGTCCACCTTTATCACATACAACGTGACGATAATTTATATACATCAGTTATCAGTGCTGCTAAATCACCACAGCTGTTGACTAATGATGACGCGTATAAACACTTGAGTAGGTCATAATTTTTCCTCCTGCTTTAAATTAATGCTTCTTTTCTTTCTTCTAAAAATGTAGTTCACTCCAATGATTCAACTCATGAACATGCTTTACAACATTTGGGTGAGTATGAGTTGATTTTGCTCTTTTTTGGTTTTGTTTCATTTTGTCTTTAGCCAGTATAACAAAAATAATGACTGTTCTTCAGACAGATGTACAACAAAGTAATTTAGGAGGGTTTGTCATACTTATATATATCAGCTGTTTTCAGCTGGTGAGATTTCTCGTAATTTAAATATGCACATTTTATGCTACAAATGTTGCTTTGTTTTGCTTTGAGACTGCAATAGATCCAGCACAAATACCAATTTTATCTTGCATGACATTCATTTTTCAATGGTCGCCAGCACACGCCCATTTGATAATCACGATGGTGGTCAGTCTAATGTGTTGTTTTCTCATTGATTAAAACGACTCAACCAATCAGATTAATTCCAGTTTCTGGTGCACATATTTATTGAACGTGTGAGGATGATTATTGTTTTCGAAAAGTATGCCAGAAAATAATAGCACTAAAGATGCAAAGTGTGTATTTAAATGCTTCTTTTTCGTTGGACGAAATGTCAAATTTTGTATATTATTCATCAACAATAGTAACCACGCGCATGTTCAAACATTTTTTTGTACTGAAATTAATTCATTTCCCCTTACTATCAAAGGACTTAACCTGACGGATAAAAAGTGAAAAAATAGTTAGGATTCTGTGTCAAGCAACCAAAGACTTTGGTTTCGAATCCCGCTAAACTAATCCCAATATATGTTTCGCGCTTGATTTCTTTCGAAACCTCACTAACTGAATAAATAAATCTAGGTTGCGGTAGACAATCTACAGGCTAGTAATCTGGACTTCATTTCATCCCCAGTTGCTACTCAATACACTAGTAGCCTTCTGCCAACCCATGACAGTTACATCATCACTTCATGGTGCGTCGGTGGCACAGTGGTTAGGACTCTCGCCGACCATGCACATGGTCCGGGGTTCGAGCCCACACCGGCGCACATCTGATATCTATGGTCGGCCTGCAAAATTTGGGCTACCGATATCCATGCTGAAAATTCCATACTTGTACCAAAAATACAGTGTGGAATCAAGCTGTAAATCAAAAATAAAAAAAAATAAAAAATAATTCGAAATTTTAGGAGGAGCAGTTTGTTGATTGACAAAGTGGAGTATGTTTCTGAAGGAGACTACTTAAGAAACATCGGCACTGTTGACGAAATTGTAGTATCCACACTGTCAGTATGCTCACAATTGTCATCTAGATGACCAGTGCATATTATTGACTCTCAAGTCCGCCTTTGTCTAATCTGCTGTCACCAATTTCGATCACTTCTGTACCATGTCTTTTCATTTTTTCTGAAATCTGAGCAGTTTTGCAGTCTCAAACATTGTTCCGATATTCCATGTCCATATGCTCACTGACAGGTCTCCCAAAGCCTTCACCCTCGAGCGTAATTCGCCTTCGAACGGAGGTGTCCTTCGGATAAAAGATGTGGATGAGTGTACTTTTTATGTGCTTTGAAGTTTTTGCAAAGATAGCAGTGGATTTTACGGGTTGGGGTTAATAGTCGCACGCCCAATCTTCCCTCTTATCTCGGCTTTACCCAGGTTAGTAGACTGCGTGATATTTAAAAACGAGGCAGGGAAGAATCAATTCAGAGAAAGCATATCCAGAATCGAAATAAGTAGAGTTTTATTTTATCTTGATACAAGTAGTAGAAGAGGAACACAGGAAAATGGCATAGTGTATCATAAATATTGTCTTAAATAAACTGACCATCCTCCTTAGAAAATTAGTAGTCCATAGGTCAAAGCATGGCAGATGTAAGGATCAGAGATCATATTAAGTAGCGATGGAGGTTGTTTTGCTCAAGTGATCGATATAAATTGGATTGTTTGATGTGAGGCTTTTATTGCTTATCTAGACAACCAAGATCTTCAGTTCTGAATTCAGTATAAAGTGAGTTTTTGGATTCTATATGAGTTCAATAGCTGTCTCATCCTGTGACCTAGAACATGGTTAGTTTTCTCCACAGATTTCCCCACCCGAGGTTGGTACTCACTTAATTTCTGTAGATAGATTAATCGGGAAAGAAGAGTGCAAGTCAATCATTACTTCTCCACTCAACAGAGGTTCTATCAGCATATACATAGAAACATGCCAGTTTCACGTAGTAATGAAGGTGAAATCTAATGTTCTGCAGGCAACAACACAAAGAGCACCAAGTATCCTCAAAAAATCTTCAGTCTCCTATTCCTGGCTCTAGGTTTTCAGCTTCGTGTTCTATGCCAATAATTTATGTTACCTTGGTTATCGTATAATCAAAGTTTTCTGGTGATTTATATCACTAGGCTCTGGTCAAACAAACCTGGAAATTATTATTTGGTAGTAGCAGAATAATATTGCAGCAACAAATGATGCTTCAAATTGAACTGGAAAGCTCTTTGTAAGCAGGATTCGAACCAACTGCCTCTAGATCATTAGTCTGGCAGTCTATCAGCTGAGCTATCAGACCCAGTTGCTGGCTGGGTAATAAACGAAAACATATGTGTTATTTATTTTTATAGTAAGTGGAGATTACCCGTGATGACTTGATTACCAACTCAGCTGACGAAGTATCGGAGTCAGAAATCAGAGGCAGATGTCTCGAAAGTTGCCTTGACCCATATTTTCATATTGCTTCGTTTTCTGCACAAGTACACATCCATAACTCTATCGAGGATTGAACTCAGCGCCTTCAGGTCAAAAGACTGACCCGTTAAACATTTATCCATCGGGTCGGAATCCAACTGATCCGTGAATTCTTACTTTGGTCAATTCGTGCTATACAATGCCACCCACAAACCACTGCCAACTAGCACCTCTGGTGAGGTTGTCTGGTTTGCACGTCTAGACAGTCCCAAAATAGGACGAAAAATCTGTTTAGTAATCCCTGAATCGCAGTGATTCTCAAGCTAATATCACTTCTTAATCTAACTTGATATCAGTGTGCAGTCAAATAGTAATTAATTCATAAGTACTATGGTCATTGTATTGGGTGTTTTACATTTTCTCTAATTACTCACGTCCATATGGTTATTCACTTTTGACAGGTGAATCAAAGAAGAGACTCTTCTTTGAGACATTTAGTTAGCTACAACTGTACAATCGTAGTCCTATGTAATTTGTGACATGAATTCGACCACTGATGGATTTATAAAAAGCCTAATAATTGATTATTTTGTAGACGCTAACCATTACTATCTCTGCTATCTGTCTCTCTTAATTTTTGTACCGATTAAGAGGAAAATAACCTGTCAAAATCATTATCTGTTCGCCTCGTCTGTATTACTGAAGTTATAGTTATTGAAATAGAGAATCCAAAGCTTTATATACAGGAGAAACTTATTCAATCACTGTTCGTTTAAATTCATTTGTATTACTCGTTGACTGGTCTTGGTTGAATTGGAACGCCCCTAGTACAAACGATTTGAAGATGTCTGAAAATTGTTACGTTGTTCTTTGGTTGGCAGTGGCTAGTATAGGAGTGTGCTCACTTCATCCTTTTCTCGTCTCGTCAGCTTGATATATTTGCCCTCTCAGTGAGTGATGGTGTTTCCACAACCAAAGACAAAATATTGATTAATTCATGAAAAATCCCTATTCGAACATTAATAGACAGAAGAGCAGCAGTTCAGCGAAGAGTCTCTTTTCGGCGAATTCATTTTCATAACTGTACATTCGCAAATATACATGGTTATTTTGTGTGAGTGTGTACAATAAATCTGTCAAACAAAAATACACTTAGTAAGCCTTTTGTTGGATCCACGTATTACAAAATGCGTTCAAATGAAATTGATGTTAACCTAAGTAAATAACAACTGGTACACGCTGAACAAGAGGTAGTCGCTATGGCCCAGTAACGTCTTGGCATTTGAAAGGATGGGTACTAGGTTCCATTCTTCGTAAGCACTCTATTATTCCCTGCGATCCAGATCCATTCATATGACCAGTTCCTAATGGAACGGAATGAGTATCATTTATTCCATCGCTAGTCACTACCAATCGAGTAACATTGTTCACTCCTTCTTCCTTTCATGATCTTAATTCGTATGTGCTAAATTTTGAATAAAGTAACAATAGAAATAGAATTAAATGAAATTATGCGATCTCACATTTTTCTGTTTCTATGCTCATTTTGATAGTAATTTATTCATGTAAATACTTCATCATACTGTACAACCTCTTATCACATATGAGATTATTCGCCTTAGTTCTGCTTCCATTATATTTCGATCGAAGCACTTACTAATCTTAGCACATGTTAGTTAACATATTTATCATTTATTGTGTGTCTGTTTCCTTTTTGAGTAATTTTATCTGTTATAGGATTGACTGCAAATGAAATTGGAGCTGGTTAAGTCAAAATCTGGCATCAATCCATGAAGTGTTTGACTGTTGTTTTGAGTCATCCACGTAGGGAGGTATAAGCATTCTGGTTAGGTTCTTCAAGACACTTACAAACAAACTATGGAGACCGTCAATGATACTGTTCAAATTCATTTTCAATGCATTTCACGGATGCATTTACTCCTTCCAGATCCTTTAAATGCTCCTTATTCTCGAAGTATATATTCTATCTCCTATACAGTCTCATTTCTTCACAGTTCTTTCATCTTAAATGTGTTTCACAAAGTATATCTGTAGCGCGATGCAGATTGGCAAGAAGTGGCTAAAACTGAAATCAATATTTCAATTCAATGGCTGAAGAGGTAGAAGTGTTTATTCCTCAAATGTAGATTTATTTTACGTTGTAGATGTGGAGTGACCCCATTGAGAGCCTTGTTTGACCTTGGGCCGATCGCAGACCAATCAAAAACGTGGGTGGCTAAAATGTATAAGTATAATATATTTTTCCACAATAAAAGGTCTGTTACCGAGTCTCTTATCTTCTCTCTTTATATATAAGCTTGAAGTGGTGCACTCTTTTAGAGTGAAGGTTAAGTGCACACCACAAAGTACCCCTGTTCTAGTGATCGCCCTTTAGGATATAAGTAAAGACGAAGAAATATTTTTGATGCAATAAGCCAAATATTTAGGCATGAAATATTGAAGATACAATTTTTACATTTAACTCTCAGGTCTGCTTCCAGGATGACTATCAGAAACCATTTGATGCCACATACTAACAAAACTTGTTCAGTAAAACTAGCAAATTTAAGGGTATGCCTTAACGTCATCGCTTTTATGCAAAGTTCTAAGTTAAATATTCAGTGATTTATCTGGAATTTAAGACTGTTGTATGCATTCAAAGAAGAAAGAATGGTGAACCTATGTTTAATTTTGATTCTAATGAACAGATTTTTCATAAATCAGAAAAACTGGAGAAAGAAATAAAACTAAACTTTTAAAAATAAACATTTTCTTATAAATGGGTTTTTAACAGAGAAATAAGAGGGAATCACTTGCTTTATATATTTTCACATAAATTTGTGACTGATTACTGTATTGATTAATCAATAAAAAAATTTTTTTAGAAATAACCAATCGACCAGTATATCATCGATTATATTTGCAAACTTTATACGTATTATTTAATTCGCAAAAAGATGTTAAATGATGATAAAGTCTATTAAATTATGAATACTAATCTAATTGACTAAACAGAATAAGTAATGCGTTGGTACTCTTGTCTGTCTATTTATATTCTTATATAGAAGTCGAAATACAGATTCCATTTTTATAGCAGCTTTATTATTATTACCATTATTATTGTTAGTATTAATGTCACCGAAATCCGAAGATATACAAACAAAACCAACAACATAACTATAATTATAATGACATAATTTGGTTTGTGAGTGTCATTATGCATAAGACTTGCTTAAATCAGACTGTTTACCTCCATAATTATTTGATAAACCTTCACAATAACTGTGTTGACTAAAGTATTTGACTTTTCTATTCTTTTTTGTAGTGAATTTGAATTCCCCTCCACTTAATAACCAATTTTATTTGTCTAAATGATACTTTGTTTCTGTTAGTAACCTCATGTGATCAATAGACTGCGAGCAGTGGGATATGAGATGTCCTTTGAGTTCTATTAGGGAATCACTTGCTCATTGGGATGATGGATTCTGTTATCGAGTCCCAGTGAGAAAGCCATCTCTGGCTCACTGTGGATGTATATAAGTCTAGCTGACGAGTACCCAATATGACCGAAACGCAGATCTTTGATTCCACTGCTAGCCACCATCATTTAAGAACGTCGTATCAATGTACAGGGATTATCTCAGTTTCTGATACGTCAACACAGACCGAACATTTTAGTCGTTCAGCGAAATCTATCAACATGAGATTCAAAATAATTTCAAAAAATGACGCTATGTACTACTAATAGATTGTGATGAGTAGTTGGATACCACTAACATTGGGCGTCCAGTGTTCAGATGACTTCGATGTGGCTATCAAGTACCCATGGTTCGTTTGATCGGTTTCCGACTACTCACCTCATTTAGTAAGTAATATACAGCGTCTTCCATATATGCTTGCTTTTCTCATTGCCATTTACGGTGTCAAGCAGATCACGCATTGTGGTCTGAAATTTCCCCTCGAAGTGTGTTGATTGCAAATTGCGTATTCGATTTATTGCGAGTAGAATGTTTTGTATCTTTAAAATGAAATTTAAATAACTTTTTAAAAACTCCTTGTTTTCGTCGATATGAGTTCGAGAATTCGCGTAACGTCCGAAAACAACTAAGGGTGTGACTACTATTCAATTCTAATGGTATACAAAAATATAGCCAAGTTATTACTCCCAATCTACAATTACACTCGGTGTTCTTTTTCGTTTTTATTTTTTGTTCTCTGCTTTATTTCAAAGAGTGTTGGTATACTGCTTCGGTAAATAATACACTTAGACAACCAAATTAACCTGGAAAAACTAATTAGATGGTTTTGCTTTTGACAAAACACCCATTCCATTCTACTCTGCGATTTCATCGAGGATGTTTCCTCAGTTGGAGTCAATTTAGAATTGATTTAGAGTTAGAATTAAAATTAAGCTACGATGTTCAGGAATTGGTGTTGGATTTCGTGATCATTTATCAAAACCTACATTTTGCAGCTTTTTAAATATTCTATTCATTTATTCGTCTGAAACATAATTTCATAATCAAATTATTATTTTCTGTAATTATGCGACTGTTTCATTGGGTTTCTCCAAAGTCATTTGGTGATAGACTGTTCACTTTATTTACTAGTCATTTGCAAAGCAGTTGCTGAATATATATATATATATATATATATATAATATTAGTACAACATGCTTTACTCAGATGGTTATGTTATTTGCCTAGTGCAAATAGTATTGATCGAAGCTGACAGTCGACTCAGTGATCTTGAGGTGGCCAATCACAGTTTTTTTAAGGGATACTACACATCCATCGGAGAAATTGAATTTATCAATAATAATGAATGTTGTTCAGGATTTAGAGAAAAGTATTTCATGTGAAAAAGTTGTTTAAATTAAACCTAAGTACAAGTTATTCGAACGGATGTCAACACTTCGATGAGAAATAGAGTGCTACTTTTGTACAACTTATAAATGAGAAAACTCTTTAATTTTATTTTAGGTTTCGGACACTTCATGAATGAGCCGTTTTTGCAACTAAGTTATCCTAGAGAATCATTCACTGAGAGTGTTATTCTTTAACTGAGGCGTATAAAATGTTTAATGAACGCAGTTATGTGATTTGTGTAGTTTACCATCAGAGTTCTAGTCATCAGTCAGCGTTCATTTATTATAATCTGTGTTGTTCGTGGTGTTACTGTTGTTGTGTTTTGTGTTTTACAGCTGAAGCAACATTGGCTAACGCATTGGCTGAACAAGTACGCGTATTCTGTTGGATAGTTACAATGCCAAAAAATCATCAGTCAAAAGCTGTTCACGTTAAAGCAACATGGGCTGGTCGATGCAATAAATTTTTATTTATTAGTAGTGAAAATGATGAAAAACTTCCATCAATAGGTAATTGTGTGTGATTGTCTGTGATTGTTTGTTTTGTTTTATGAATATTTTCTTAATCTGTTAAAAGCTATACTGTTAAAGGAGTTAGTGATTCTAATATGGAAATGTGTCCAGATTTCTAAATCACTTGACTTCGTATAAATCACTCCGCAAATAGTCGAATTTTTCTAATCAATCGGTTGGTATCATTAATTCCCAAAAACAAATATGGTGATGAATCTGAACGACAAACCATTGGTTAAATTTATCTTCAATCAGTCAGTGATGAAGCAAACTCCATGAGTTAATCAAATTACTCAGAATAAAGAAATTGTAGGTTAGACAGTTTTGATGACAAACTTCAGTGAGCCATATTGAACTGCTTTGTGGAGTAGATGACCATAATAGTTTATGAAGATTGCAGACAAACAGTACTAGTAGTAGTGAACCCGTACGAAATTCAAGCCAGAAAAATCTATCGAAAGAAAGACTCATAGTTGAATTTAGAAGCGGTGACATTACTATCGAGATATTTGCAAAACTGTTCACTGTTGTGGGTGAGGCAGAAACACATTGATGAAGACATTGCGAAGTGGTCGTGCTATGTCATGAATTGACAGAAGTTAGAATTCATGGGCCGTTGGACTGTGTCCCAGTGGCTAAATGGCCTAAGAGCTCGCCTTTTAACGAGCCTTGGCTGGTGCGTACTGCTGCAGAGTCCCAAGCTAGGACGAAAAAGTCTTTCAGTACTCCTAACCTGTTTTCCAAGGGTTCTCTAACTGATGTTTGCTCATGATGAAATCCTCCAATAAAACTTATTATTTTATCGATAGATTCTTATAACTGAGATGGCTAAGATTGTGAGATATATTATTTTAGATGAATATTGCTTTCATGGATAAGTCTTTCTCTTCTTCGTCATTCTTTTATGATCCTAGTGGAACACAGGGCTTCAAACTTAGAAGGTTGAGTGACGTTGGTGTTGTTTTAGGGGATAAGGCTAATGACATCACTGCCTATCTTTCCTCTCTTTCAGCGTCAATACAGGTCAGTGAACTAGGCGGGGCTAAGGCATGCATCCTCCAGGAATTAAACCCCAGACTAGGATACGTAGCTAGCAGTAAGCCATTACTGATACTTGTACATTTCAACTAAATCTGAACAATACACAGTCATTTCGTTCGTTTTTCACCTAACTTATCCGATGAGCACTGAGACGCCTAAACTCAGGGAGTCTATTTATTCAAACCATTGGAATCCTAAATAGCCTTCTAGGCGGATGAATATTGTGAAGCATGGGTCTATTTTTTTTAATTTCATGGATAGAGACATATTTTTAGGTTAAACCTAAACTATTTTGTAGTTGAACCTGAGCAGTAGAGGATGTGGTCAGTAAGATAGGCTGTAACAGTATTAGTCAGATTTCCAGGGCGCCTAACTTCTGAGTTATTTTCACTACAGGAAAGTGCTTATGAATAATCTCACTTTAGAATGTAAAGAATGTTTTCTAAATTTACTTAGAAGTCGCTGATTCATATGAGAAAGTTCTCTTTGGTTGCTTCACTTGGCGGCAGTCAGCTTTCCTTTACTTACTTTGGTCAGTAATTTTTTACTAATGATCAGTGCTGTGATTACTCGCATCCAGCTAAATTATCTTCATTTCTTTTTGTATGTTTATGTAGTAGAATTATATGCAGCCTTTTAGATGACGATAATGAATTAACTGAGGTAATACCTCCTGAGTACTTTAGATTCTGACTGACTCAAATGTGGATTAGTAATGCACTTACCCTAACCTTACCACATGATAAAAGATATCTTGAAGCAATCGAGGTCTCTACAAATCCAAAATATAAATTCTAAATTTTATTTTTTCAATATAAATGAATCTAAATCATTTTTAAAAATATTTGACTCACTAAATGGTCGGAAGCCTGCCAGCCACGTTCGGCCGTTAGTAAGCCCGGTAAACAGGAAACGTTTTGTAAGAGTCCAGCGACCCTACCTCTTATATAACAACATCTCCGCTGCTGAAATTTTAATACTGAAGCAAAGGAATGAAAAAAGAAATTGCTTGTATTAGTGGAACCCTTATTTCATGGGTAAAGTTAGCAATTTGTATTTTTAAGCCTTATGCAGATCATTCTGAGCGATCAAGTCATCCTGGTTGCAAAACAGAATTCATAGTTAAGGTATATTGAAATTAAACAATATTTTCCTTTTCTTTGAATACTAATACGAATATAACGAAATACTTGTCGTGGAAACATGTGGTTAGAGCATAGTTGTAATCATCACTGCCCCTTACTTTACATTTTAAATGCATTTAAAACTTTGTAAGTTCATAAAAGGTTTTTACTATATTCGAGCTGCATTCATGCTGATTTTCGAAATCAAGAAAGAAAATACTACACACCTTCCAACATGTTTGACAGCGTTTCCACATTTGCGTCGGTGGCACAGTGGTTGGGTCTCTCGCCGACCGTGCACATGGTCCGAGGTTCGACCTCCTGCCGACGCACACTTGATACCTATGGTCGGCCTGCAAAATTTGAGCTACCGATATCCATGCTGAAAATTCCATACTTGTACCAAAAATACAGTGTGGAATCAAGCTGTAATCAAAAATAAAAATAAATAAATAAAATTTCATCACTTACCGATATCGGCAAGAGAAATGTTGAAAACCCGAGGCCAATAGACAGTTGTTTTGTCCAAGTTTCAGATTTACACCAATCACCCCACCAGAAGTCAAACCCAAGACTTTCAAGATTGGCTCCAACCATCTAATACTTTCAAGCTATGTTGGGAGGGCTATCCATCATTCAGCCACTAAGTTGAATTACAATGACCCATAAGTCCTAATTCCTGTCAATTATCTATACAGTACCACTGCTATGGATCCCTGATAGGCGTGTAAGTGCGTTATACAGAAGAACCTTAAACTAAGTTTAGACAACTGTCAGGCTCCCTAGTTTTTTATTTTTCTCCAAGTGATGTCGGTTCCTGACAAAATCTACACTGAAATTAACCAGTGTCCATGAAAAAATTGAAGTCTTTATCGATTGTCTTCATATTCATTCGTCGGAAAATGTTTTCTGTATGTGTGTATGTGTGCGCTTCTTTGTGTTAAAATGAACCCTGAGAATACGAATCCGTACCCAGCTAGCTACGTCTTCTCCTGTCATAGTAGATTAGAAAGAGAGGAGCAGTTGATTAATGATGGTTGGTGACACTATTTAAGATGAGATTGGGTTGACAGATTTGTTATTGCCGTGGTGTGTGATTGTTATTTGATGAAATGAAACATTCTACCATCTTTGTCTAGACTAATAACATTAAAGATACTGTTTGATCCTTCAACCGCCATTACTGTCAGCTACTAATGAATAAAAATGAGTATACTAAAACTGTCAAGAAGTGGAAAAATCAAGTCGTTTAATTATTTATATCAAACAAAGACACACGTGTTTATTGTTGCAGATTAAACTCATCTTTTCTCTCTCGCCTCCAATACGTCACCATTCAGAAATATAAGCATAGATAAAAAGGACTGGCACATGCATATATAATTATTACTGATTCAATTAATCTGACACCTGAGGTGATTCGAATACTAGACAGCCAGTTGGCTTGTTCTGCTATCGGGTTGATCAAGCAATTTCTTTGAAGTGATTCAACTAAAAGAATCGTATCCTTTAAACTAACCAGGAAATGGTTAACACCTAGTAAATTTATATTGGAAAGTTATTTAAGATAAAAGGTGTTATCAAATGTCATTGAAATTCGAGACTTTATGTCTGATATAAGTTGTCATCACTATGAGTAGATATAGGTTCTGTAAAACGTAAAGCTGTACTGAACACATGAATGAATGAACGAATGAATGTATGAATGTGTGTCAGTTATGCCTCAGATTTGATCATTCCTATGGCGGTTACTTATGCAGTATGGAACTATGGAACAAAGTATCGCATTGCAAGTATTTCATTATTAATCCACAGGTTGTTATTTTTCAACTTCTACGGATTCAAAATTCAGGCCAATTAACATTTGATGTCATTGATAACTAGCCATTTTCACGCGTACTTAGGCTGATCCTATATAGTTACACCTCCCCACTAAAAACTTAGGCAAATTCATTTTCCAGTTAATGAATAATTACAAATGAGTGCTTAATTTATTTTAAACATATTGTTGTGTTTACAAATAATCTTGTACACTTTTCTAACTTTTCATCAGTGTGTCTTTTTCTGTTCGTCTAGGCGTTTCTCGATTACTGTTATTCATTTTATGCGTTCTTAGTGGAGCCTAAGATGTCAACGGGACATCTCTATCGCACTCAGTTCTGTGCCATCAAAGCGTTCAATGACTACCCGTCACATGATCTTCTCCATTTCACCCTCAGATCTATGCCTAACTCGTGGCTTTCCTCTTGGGTTTCAGTTAAGAGTCTATCTTGTGTCGATTTGTATCCGCTGACATACTTTTTAAATGATAGAAACCCAAGGGAGTTTAATGTTGTTATTATTTCTGTTTGCGACATTAAGGATCAAGGATGTCGAGAAAGATTATTGGCTGATAATATATGCCCTAGTTTTACTGCCAGTAATGCTAGTCGATCTAAGATTGAACTGGAATTAAGGGTTATGAGTGGTCAAACCAAAGTATTGCATCAATTCATGAAGTATTTGACTGTTGTTTAAAAAAAAGTACGAACTGATGGGTTTAGACTGCTCGACTACCTCCAACCATCTAATATCAACAATTCAAAATGCATCGGGATGGTGAGTCATCTAGAATGGTGGCCACATTGCAAACGTGACTGCTACAACTCAGTCTGCACCAAAGAGAGGACCAGACACATTACACTAGTTGCCGACTAGTGTCCAATCAGAAGTAATATGTGTTTGACGAACAGGGTATTCAGGCAGGCTAAAGTTCAAACAGGCTGCCCGTATAAATGAAGAACGAATTCAAGACACTAGCATTAGTTAAATGATTCGGGCGTTAATTTGGAT